GGGACCATTGGGAAGAAAGTCGAGTGGAGACCTGATGAGTACATATATGTCTTGTACAGAATTGCAGAAGTTTTAATCTAATAAAGAAACTCGCATTATATTGTACAACCGTCACAAAGAGACTGATATACTAAGCTACATATATAGACCTAAACCTCCGAAACAAGAGGCCGAGTTCATCTAATAAAGACCCCACTTAACAGGCTGCTGCCCAGCATTGCCATTGCACTTCATATACCCCTTAGCACCCACCTTGCCGCCTCCGCCAAACTGCTTGACAGACTCGTTGATGATATCAATCACGTCCTGCCCGCCGACCTTGTACGTGACACTGCCCTTGACACCGTCCGCCTCCACGCCGAACGCGCACCCGCCGGCCTTGGCAATCGCCTTCTGGCCGCCGATACCCACCGTCCACTCCGTGCTGCCGTCGCCCTCAATGTTCTTGATGATCTGGAGACAGTCGTCCACCGAAGGGCTGGCGCCCGAGGTCTGGTTCTCGAAGGTCGAGTCGCCGCAGTCGTTCTTGCCCGGCGGGATGTCACAGGGATAGTTATCGGATGAGCCCTTGGACGAAGTGTCCCACGACTGGAAGGCGCGCTCGGCGGAGCAGACGGGCAAGCGGACGTAGCCGGGGGTGGTGATGTCAACGCTGAGCAGGTTGTCGATGGTGCCGCCGTCGCGCGGGTTGGGCGAGGAACCGCCGTTCTTTTGGCCGTTTTGCTTCCAGGTGCGGACGGAACCCTTGATCAGGTCGTCCTTGGAGATGCCGCCGAAGTTGCCGAGGGAGCCGATGCCGGGCGGAGCGGAGAACTTGTTGTCGTGGCAGATGGTCTGGCAAGGACCGTGGTCGCCGACGATTTGACACTTGCATTCGTTGGCGTCGCCGTCGGGGTGCACGAGGAAGTACCATCTGTCGTCGACGCAGGAGCCGGTGTCCTTCATGGTGTCGTCGTCCAGGTAGTCGCCGAGCGGGTTGGAGGTGCTGCATGAGATGCCGGAGTCGATGACGAAGGCGTAGGTCTTGGCGGAGCGCCACAGGTTGGGGATGGCGTAGGCGTAGAAGGATTTGGCCAAGTTGGCGCGCAGGTCGTTAGAGGCGCTGGCGGTGTCGATGAAGTTGTTGCCGGTGGAGCCCCGGATCAGCTTGCCGTCCGAGATGAGCTCGCCGATGGCATCAAGTGTGTCGTCCGTGGCCTCAAAAAGCTTGCCGAGCGAGAGGGAGGTGACATTGGCCCAGCCGGCGATGGCCTGGCCCATGTAGTTGGAGAACTCGTTTTGGGCCTCGGGCGTCCAGGGCGAGTCTTTGCTTGGCAGCACGTCCTTAGCGATGGTTGTGCTTTGACCAATCAAGGTCATAGTGGTGTCCTTGAGGTTGTCGGCCATCGAAGAACCCTCCTTTGCGACGAAGTACGCCGTGTTCTTGAGAATCGTGTTGAAGAAGGGACCGGCGATTGAGAGAGTTCCGAGAGTGATCAGATCGATGAGCAGATACGTCCACTTGTTCTCAGGCGGCGCTGGGATGGGCGCAAATGTATCCTCCATGTTATCGAGCGCCGTGCTGATGACGCCGGCAACGTCATACAGAGCGTCGTGGTACTCGTGGTAGACTTCATGAATCCATACCAGCGAGTTCCAGATCAACTGCGCCGCAGGACCAGACTTGTTTCCGTTCGCACTGGCGGGGCAATCTTCGGTATTGTCGCAATTATCGTACTTGCCCAAAACACCGCATTGCACGGTGCCTCCGCCTCCCATACCGAGGGTAAGCCCAACAGAGTCCATGAAAGTGATGCCCTGTCTGTCACGGTTGTTGTCCTTCCAGTTCCTGACAACATCGTCCCACGCAGCATCCGCATCGAGCGCCTTCCAGATCTCCTCGGGCGTATGTTTGTCCCAGCGAGTGGTATAGTCATTGTCGCAGGTCAACTTGGTCCAGTTGCCATCGCGGACGCCATCGTCACCCTTGGGATCCAACTTGGAGCGGATTGCAAGCTTGAAGGCGTTCCAGTCCTTCGATGGCGACGGAACATCGTTGTACGTTTGCAGATCACTGGCCCAGTCCGTAGTGCCTCCCATTCCCCACGCCGTGTAAAGTGCGGAGCGGGTCTTCTTGGTCGCGGCGCTCATGTAGCTTACCCACTGGTTGTTGTCGTACACAAGAATATCGCTGTTGCTGCTTGCGTCCACCATGTTGGCAACGACTCTGCCTGAGCGCTTTGAGCCGGTTCCAACAATAATCTCGGCAATCTCAGCATCAGCAATGTAACCAGCAGTGCCGGTGCACACACCCTTCTTCGCGTTCGAGTTCACCCGGTCACCGGTGAACAAGCAGCTAGGACCCCAGCAGCCGGGCTGTGCCATCTCGAAAGAGCGTCCGTAGCTGGTTACACCGACAATAACCTTCTTTCCAGGCACGCCAGCCTTGGTGATCATGGCCAGCGAGTACTTGGTCTCCGTCAGGTTAACCTGGCTGCGCAGACAGTTGCCATTTTCACATCCCTCTTGAGAATATCCGTTATTCGTATCCCATTGCCCGTGCAAGTCATAGGTCATATAGACTATGTAATCGACGACAGCACCGATTTGCTTGAGTGGGTATTGTTTCAAGTACCAGTAGGAGGAAGGGGCAGCAATCGAGATGGATTTTCCAGGCAGGAGGTTCTTCAAAACGACGAGGAAGGCCAGGTAGTTGGGGCCATCATCCTTGCTGGCGGGCGGGATGTCAGGAAGATCAGGCGCGCCGGGGTATTCCCAGTCAATGTCAACACCGTCGAGATCGTGCTCCTTGATGAAGTTGGCGATGTTGGTGGCCATTTTCAGGCGGTTGGCAGGGGTGACACCGTTACGGAAGATGAAGTAGGTAGCAGGCAGGGCAGAGAAGTCCCAGCCGCCAAAGGACAAGATACGCTTGGCGCCTCTGATGCGCTTGAACTCCTGGAACTGGTAAGAGGACAAGACATCGCCAACCTCAACCTCATAGTCAGGGGTCAAAGTACCGAAAGCAAAATGGATGTGGGTGTACTGGGACGTGTCGATCTGAGAGGCGTCCTGGTAGAGACAGTCTCGACCCAGATTGTAGGCTTCGAAATAGGCAATCTTGATGGCGCCGGACCCGTCACCCTTGACAATGTCGGTACCGCAGTTGGAGATGCAGCCAAAGGTGCCTGGCTTGGCAGTTCCCGGAGCGCCGGTGTTGGTGTCAACACAGAAGTCCTTAGTGATACCGCACTGGCCCCAAATATTGCAGCAGGCGTTAAGCGGGCAGGGGTTCAAGTCGGCAATATTGGAGCCATCAGTGGGCGGCTTAGAGCCCGGCTTTTGCGGACCGCACACGGCGTTGGCGATCGGGGCAGGGAAAGGCGGAGAGCCTTTGCTCAAGCACATGACGGTGTCGGTGAACAGAAGCTCACAGCCGTTCCAACCCCATGTGTTCTTGTTAAAGCCCTCAATGTCCTCGTTGGTCAAGCCATACTCGGCACCAAGGTTGGCGCAATTGTCGTTGGCTTTAACCTGGTAAGAAAAGCAAGAGCCATCAGAGTTGGGGACGGGACGGAAGTCAGGAAGATCTCCGGTGGTGCAGCAGACGTGCTGCTTGGGCTTCAGGTTGGCACAGAAGTCAGAGGCGGGATGGAGCTTTGTAAAATCAGCGCCCGAAATGCCACACTTTGTGGCCAGCGATGCGCAACTGTCACCAGATTCGACTTGCACATTCTTACACTCGGCACGAGCGTGAAGAGCCCTGTGATATCTGGGACCATGGCCCCTAGCTTGGACGGTAGAGTTGGAGCGGATGGTGGAGTTGGAACCAACAGTGCCGTTTGTGGGCAGAAGCGGCGTGGTGAACACAGCCTGGCCGGCGAAACTCTTGGAGCCAGCAAAAGACAAGCAGCTGGCGTTGGCCCAGGTCTTGATAGCGTCTTGGATGGGAGCGAAAGTAGCATTGCTGGTCACCATGATACCGAAAGTATGGGTGCTGTCGTAGCCGGGGCCGCAAAGCTGCATAGCCAAGCTCGGTGTCGAGACATTGAGGGTGTCGAGATTGTCCTGAAAGATACTCAGGGCGGACTCGCTGAGGCCTTGGTTCTGCAGACCTTGGCCGATGTAGAGTCCGACAGTGGCTTGACCAGACTGAGCATAGACAATGAAGGGCCTGTCAGTGGCTCCATGTCCGTTGTCGACGTACTTGCGGATTTGCTTGATCAGGGACCGGAGTCCGGCAGCAGCCAGACCGAAACCCTCCTCTTTCCAGCCAATCTCGAAGTCAACAATGACAGGGTCGACGGACGCAATCCGTGCGGCCGAGTTGTTGGGAGGTACAAGGGAAAAGTCTGGACCAAACGAAGTGCAAGCAGCGATGCGGGAGTTTGTGTCGAGGTTATCGACTTGATCATAGAGGTTGAAGTCGTAGAACATGGTCTGGCTGCACTTTTTGATCTGTTTGAAGTTGGGATAGACAGACCAGTTTCCAGAGTTTGGCCCAGAAACGATGCATCGCTCAGGGCATACCTCGCGGTAGGCTGGGCTGGAAGGGAATCGGAAGCTTGGCTGTTTGGCAGCCATAACTCCATCAGCGGACAGCAGGAGGCCGAGAGCCCCCATGCCCGCTGTGAACCATGATGTAGCCACCATGGTTGCGCGGAAGAATGATTGAGGCTGTTATGTTAGCTTAAGTCGAAGCTTTCGGGTTTCGAGGACCACTTACAAGTAAGCGATATTTCAGTCCAACACAGGCCTTGATGGCCAAAAACGCAGATGGGACTGATAGACCTTAGACATTCTGGACCAACAAGAACAGCAAAGAAGTGGTCTTTATAGCTTTTATTCCTATCCATGTTGACGGATTATCGCCTCAAAGCCGTTGAACATAGTGAACCCCTACTCGCTCACTCACTCTTACTCTTCTCGGATGTTCAAGGGACCAACGCCCCCAAGGCTCTGGGGCTCCATCCACTTGAACGTAGCATCAGCAAGGGTTTGCTACCACCACATTGCACAATTCAATTCTAGTTCATTTGTTAGCTTCGTACTTCTATCCACACAGAATTGGGGAAACCGACAGAGTTCAGCTCATTTCAGATAGGTAGTATACTAGACAAGACATAGCCCGACCTGTCCCAAACCTTACAATACCAAAATAAAATAGCTGATCGCTATTCAGAAAGGGATTAGCATGTTCTGAAATCACATACTGCATGTATTGAATGGTATATCCAAGGTGAGATCACGCCTTGGTCGTAGGACGAAAAGCCATAGTTTGAAATAGAAGCCCGTAAAAGAAATTGGCCCGAGGTCTCGAGCTAACAAGCAAACCAGTATTGGACTGTACGGTCATTCCGAGGCTGAGTTTCCGAGGGGCGACTGTCGACGGCGCCTACTTGCCGAACCACTTTCGAAGGGTATGACTTCTTTTCCTTGTCGATCCGCAACAAACTATTGCTTCACTAGTCAGTCCAGAAGGATTCCGGAGGGCACCCTGAGCGGAAATTGACAAACAAATTTTTTTCAAGGCGGTTTCCATAAACTAGGCAGAGTCACAGAAAGTAAGTGTGTGTGAGAAAACTCTGCACACATACCAGGGCTTTCGTTCCGTTCATCGCTGAGGGTATCCGAAAGGTGGAACCAAAACCACATAGTCTTTGAAGAGACCAGGCAGGCAGCCAACCCTGTAGGGCTGGGTACCTGGAAGTGGCGGAATCCACGAATGCAACGGTGCTGTCGACAAGATTGCAACCAAGCCATGCGAGGGTCTGAATCGTGGGTCCGCCGAGCGAGGTACCGCACCTTAATCTCGCGTTATTGAGGCGGGCCGAGGCGAGAAGATTGGGGATCAAAGTGGTCAGGGGAGCGCCAGGTCTGGCTCGAATTGCCCTGCAGGTGGACATCTGATGATGGCATGGATAGGCCATGGAATCGATCGATGAAGATTCCTTCGCAATGGCGGACTGTCGCTTTGTGACGATGACTGTGGGATTGTCGAGAATTGCAACTCAATCTCGTTATTGTGTCCCAAAGGAGGCCATTGCCGGGAAAATCCGTCCGCCATTACGTCTAAATGAACGAGCACGAGGCTCTGATGACGGTGTGAGGACAATCAGTCCAGTGTCCCAACCTGGTCAGGATACAGGGCAGCCAATATCACGCTGGCGTTTTTTTCGGGGGAGAGTTGAAAATACCACGCTGGCGTAGCAGAGGGATGTCGGGGTTGCCATTTGCGGTAAAGATACCAGGAGGGTGACCTAGTGTAGCTGGGTGGAGGACTGTTGTGGTTATGGTGAAGGATGAAGTCCGAGGAAAAGACGTCGTCAATGCCGAGTCCGAGGTGTGGAGAAAAAGGAGATCGCGTCGGGGTCGTTTGCAATGAAAAGTGGAGGGGACACTGTACCCACCCACATGGGTCCATCCCTAGCCTTGCATGTGTGCACGGATTAGCCTCGATAGGATTACCCAATCAAGCTTCTCTTAGGTGTCCCCACTGCCGTTCGGCCTCTCCACTTCGCGTCTTGTGTCCGGCGCGGCCCACTACGCCTCGCAGTCGCATGCAGCCAAAAATTTGATGTTGTGGGCTGTGGAGCTCTGCACCTAACGGGAAGGTCGCAGCCTTGCTGCTTAGTGCTGACACTCCTCTTCAGAAACCCGGTTGTTATGCAAGGGCAGCTATCTTCAGCCCCCGGAAACTCGGCAGCTTGATCGCTTGCTCGGTTTGCCTTGGACGTCTCCTTCGTCATACAAGCTTTTCCGCGGAAGAGTCTGTGCACACTAGTTTCTAGCCTCGCCGACTGGTGAACCTCGGTCACAATGGTCCAAACGGTCGTCTTCCGATGACGGGCCTGGTCAAGAGTCAGACCCATTGAGATGGATGGATGCAAGCAAGGCACTTGAGCTTTGCCTCACAGTACATACATCAAGCTCGCTGCAGCCTACCTAGTGTGGACCCTAAGCCATGAGCGTGGAACTGCATGATACCTACAGTGATGTAGGTGGTAGGTACATTGTTGTAATGCAAAAAGCCATCTACCGTCCCGTGCTTCTGTGTCTTGTCCCGTTCCATTCCATTTCCATTTGCATAGGGGTTGCGAGACCGGATGAAGAGTTTTTCTTTGAGGTCCGTCACAGGTAACATCGTGAGAATCCGTTGACTCCAAAGTCCGAAGGATTGCTTAAGCGATCTGACTAGGTCGCTCCATGGGAGATGCAAAGACAAGAACCCACATGGCAATTTCCGATCTTCTGTTCTTGCACGGCACAGCGGTGAAGGTGAATATGTCATCTTTTATCTGGTGTGTTGACTGAGGCTTAGTTAAGCTTCTAGAAGTAAGCCCTAAGACTTGGTGTCATGGGATTTGTTTCTTTTTCTCGGTCGGCTAAGAGTCACGTTGTGGGATTCTTTGGACTGGCAAGACGTTGCATTGTGAAGTCAGGAGGAGAGGGAGTTCATGCTAGCAGTACTCCTTCATCATAATGAATAGATTACATACGTGACTACATTACATGCATATTGCATAACGGTCGATTTCCCTGCATTAAGGACAAAGTACCTGCATACGATGCGCAATTGGGTAATACCACCAAAATCCCATCATCTTCAAGCCAAGAATCCCAACATTCCCACTCCAGCTGCTAAGCAGGCCAAACCTGCAACAGCCAATCCCTGAGCGGCATTGTCCTTCGGACAGTCGTCTGGGCGGTCTGCGGTGCGGTTGCACAATTCGGCCCTCAATGAAGCCGTCATGCTGGCGGCAACGGCCGAGTCCACCTTGACCTGGCAAGGGGTGGGAGTTGGTTGAGGAGATCCCACCACTGCGCAGGTATTATCGGGCATATCAAGCCTAGAGGGTACACCCTGTGTTTTGCCAGTAACGTTGACGGCAGCAGCGTTCTCCTTGGAACATGTTTTGTCGTCGGCCGTGGCAGCAACGACATCTACCACCTGCCCGCCCTCTTTGATGGTGAATGTGACGCTGTGTAATGTTCTGTTGCGATTGACGGGGTCGCCAACACTCGTGAAGTCCGTCCAGTCCTCGTTGCACGAAGAATACCAGAATTCCCAGTCAAGTCGCCAGATCCCCTCGGGGAGGTCGGCGTGGAAGTGATGGACAAAATACGGGTCCTCGCTGGACCAGTTTGCCCATTGCAGGTTGTCGTGGCTATATGAAAAGCCGGCTCCGTTGGAGTTATTGGCTCCTACAGACACGTTCCATCCTTCGTAGTTGATTTTGGGAACGAGATACTTTGCGAGCTTGGTGTTTTGGACGGCAAAGACGAATGGCATCCATTCGGTGGGCGCATATGTCTCATTGCGCGGGAAAAGGAGGTCGACCTCGAGGACACCGGAATCGGCAGCGTTGGAAACGGTCCCAAGACTGATCAAAGAGACCAGGAGGGACCAAGCTGCGCGGGACTTGAAGTGCATGTTTCTGGGGGCTGTTGTCAAACAGCTGGAACAGAAGGTAAAAAGACGGCGGGGAGTGGTGATGTGTACGGTGTACCTAGGTCAAATTTCGGGTGCCCTGGAAATGGCAATGACAATATGGGATCGTTGATACACTTGTTGAGCGTGTGAGTCAGCAAAAAAGCATGGTCATGGAGGATGAAGACGAAAGAGGGGAGAAAACCGTATGCTAGGGTAGCAAAGCGCCCAAAGAATTCAGCAGATGAAAGGGAGGTGATGTCTTGGCAAAGGCAAATCAGATGAACCCTCCGAGACACGCTAGGCTAGACGACCCTGACGACACAAACCAATCCCATTGTGGCTTCTTTGCCGTTGCCGTTGGTGGGCGCAAACACAAAGGGCCGCTTAGCCGGCTTGGCGAGAGAGGCAAAGAAAGTCGGAAGTTGAAATGGGTAAGGAGTGGGCAGCTGCAGCCTTGCAGGGGAAAAGGGTTCAGTGGGTGGGACTGCGCACAGGCCACGACTATTCAAGAATGGTCCCGGCGGATCGGCTTTGAAAAAGGCTGAGCGGAGACGATCCACTGTGACTGCCAAGGCAGGATGCTTGGCGTTGAGGATTTGCATCCCAGCCGGGATTCTCCTTGCTGATTGGTGAGCTGCTTTCCTTCGGTTATCTGTACGTAATCAAGGTACCTTTCTTTTTCTCTTACAACAGCCATCGACAACCCAGTACACAGTAACAACCTCACCACCACCGTCATTCGCGGTTGTGACCCGGGGCCTCCAATCGAAACATGATGCCACATTCCATTTCCCATACCATGCTGCCGACGGGCTCACGCTTTTCCGGCTGACACACAGCCTTGCCCTCTTGTCCGCCTGACGGGCTGACTTCCCAAAGAGGTGGACGCTGGGGTTATCTGGTAGCGAGCGAGACCCTTCTCCATAGCAATACCTGAACACGCGTGGCGAACATCCACCGACAATCTCTACGAAATACAGTTCCAACTCGACGTTGCAATGCAGTCACACTATTGATTGTTGCTCTCGAGGATCTTGCCTCACCCATTCCGTATGCAATCAGCCGTGATATCACCGACGGGGTGGATCAATACCATCTCTCTAGCAAACTGATTTTTCCACGGCCGTGAACGCGTGAACTAGAGGGCTCCGAGAACAGGCCATGTCGGCCCATACATCCCATCTAGGCTCAAGCAGAGTCAGGCGTTCTCCAGGAGTGTAGATGGCATACTACACCAAAGTGTGCTCCGAAGAGATGTATAAGACGGCAGTTTGGACTTCATCTGGGTGAGTGTCTCTTTTGCTTGAGGACACCGACCTTTGACTCTCTTTTCTCTCCAGTCCCAGCAACACCAACATGATGCAGCTGACACGCTTCCAAGTTCTTGCCGCCGGGCTTCTCCCCGGCATGGTCTCTGCTCGGGCCCTGTCCCCCCGTGCTGTTGACTGTGCCTTTTCCACGGCTCCTGATGCCGGCGCAACCTGCGAGAGCTTCGCCGCCAGCTGGGGACAGTCGGTCGATGAGCTCAAGAAGTTGAACCCAGGTATCACCTGCCCCAACCTCGATGACAGCCAGCTCTACTGCGTCATCGGCACCGTCACTGCTGATCCTACACCTTCTTCGTCTGCGTCCTCGTCCTCGAGCACGAGCACCACGCTCAAGACAACGACGACTACGGTCAGAACCACCACCACCACCACTTCTACTTCCTCGACCTCTACATCTTCTTCGACTACTGCCGCCCCTGCCCCTAGCAACTCCCCCCAGATGCCTGGACTGGCGGCAAACTGCGATAAGTTTTACAAGGTAGCTTCTGGCGACTCGTGTGATACCATTGCCTCCAAGAACGGTATCACCACCACCCAGTTCAAGACCTGGAACACTGAGATCAACGCCGGTATGTATCAACCTCTGCAAGCGCGTGCAATAACGTGTCCGGTTTGATTCGCTAACAGATTCCTTTTCCAGAGTGCTCTAACCTCTGGCTGGACTACTATGTCTGTGTCCACGTGCCCGGCGCGGCTGCCCCGACAACTTCCACCAAGACCACCAGCACCACCGCTGCGCCGGCTCCGACCAACTCCCCCCAGATGCCTGGTCTCGCTGCCAACTGTGATGGTTTCTACAAGGTAGCATCGGGAGATTCTTGCGATACCATTGCCTCCAAGAACAGCATTACTACCACTCAGTTCAAGAGCTGGAACACCGAGATCAACGCTGGTACGTATCTGCCCTTAACCTGATCCCCACCGTATCCATTACTAACATTCCGTCACACAGAGTGCTCCAACCTTTGGCT